TATTCAAATAAATCTTTTTTTGCTTTCATTTTTCTTAACGCGTCCTCTCCTAGTATTATATCAAACTCTTTTAGTTCTTCTGCTTCAAAAAAATCTAAGTCAAATCCTACTAGGTTGATTTCTCTCTTGTGAGTAACTGTTGAACTCCCGTGTAGTGTGTTAAATCTAACAGGTTTATTTAATTTTATTATTTCTGCAAATGGGTAATTTTTACTCACATATCTACTAGTTGCACCTGAATCTATCAGTATATGCAGGAATCTTCCATTAGGTGCAGTGCGTCTTAACGTCGGAAGACCGTGGTATCTTATAAAAAATGTTTCTCTCTATTATTATTTCTATAACTTACACTAGGTGTTTCATTGTAAAGCGACTCTTGGTCGTCTTCTTGGGTGTCTCCCACTTGGTTAAGGCGTTGTGTATTCCTTTGCTGCGAGTTTGCCGTGTCTTATCTGTCGCGCTTGAATTGGTTGCCGAATCTTTGGATGACTTGTCTAAACGGATTCTGTGTTTGCCTTGCTTCCTGATGAGTGTTAACTGGTGGTTGTGGATTGTATGGTTGTCGTCTAAATCTTGTTGAAGAGGGGTCTACCTGGTTCCGTTGTTTCTTGTTGCATTTGAGGTTGTTGGTGATAAAAATTCTGCTGGAATTGCTGCTGTGTTTGCCACTGTTGATGGCTTCGCCCTTGTACTTAATGCCCAGAGGTCAAACTCATTCCCTACCGATTCCACTGACGACTCTCTGCCCGTTTCCATAGTATCATCTACAACTATTATTTCATTACGTAAAAATTTTATAACTGCGGGCAACGCTATCGTAATCCTAGATTGCAGAGTCTAATTTGTACACATATCTATATATGTGACTTGGTCTACGAAAAGGGAGCTAACGTGCGAAAACTAGTTTTCTATCACGTGAAAAAGCATCTCATCTTCATTAACTAAAATGTGAAAATTGATTTTTGGACACCATATAAAAATTAAACCCGTTTTCCGTTGTCACGGCATCAGGCGTAAATGCCTGAACCGATTTGGCTGATTTTTTTTTTTTTGTAGTTTTCTAATACTCTGTAAAAGGTTGTTATAGAAAAAAATATTAAGAAAATCTCTCAGAAAGATTAAAAAATACACATTTAATTTTGCATATACGAATGTAAACGTAATTCAGTTTAAATGTCAAAAAAAAAAGAATTGTGGTAATCTGTTTTCATGTAAATTTTATTAAGTTTTTGATAAAGTTCTTTTTTTTTAAGACTAAGAAGTTTTTTGTTTGCTAATAACTGTTTATTATTCACGGCAAGTTCAATTCACCTTAYATCGATTTTTGGTAACTTTTAGTGACTATACAATATTACAATTTGGTAGGTATACATGGTTAAACAGAAAAATATGATATCTCTTTATTTTCAGTTAGATTTTCGTTTTTAACAATGCCACCAACCAGATGTACAAACTCGAAATACGGTAAGTCAAAGAAATATAAGAGCAAATCAAACAAATGAGCAACGCGAAGCGCAAAATGAACTACAAAGGAATAGAAATCAACATAGAAATGTTGTGTTTAATCCCCACAGAGCTGCATTCTGTTATAATTGATTACAGTTCAGAGCAAATTGTTGCTATTAGACTAATGTATATTGTGTGTCCACATTGCAGTGCATTGAAATTCAAAAATGAAGCTCCTGGATTGTGTTGCGCCAGCGGCCAAGTCAAACTGACGCCATTGGTACCACCACCAGAGCAACTAAAGTCATTGGTTTCTGGAAATGGGCCAGATTCTAATCATTTTTTGACTCATATGCAGCAATACAATAATTGCTTTCAAATGACATCATTTGGCGCAACAAAAGTTATTCGAGACAATTTTATGCCTACTTTCAAGGTAAGTAAGTATAATGGCAAACAATTTTATTTAGTTTTACAACCATGTAGCTGGTGCAAAATATGTTGAGCCAGTGTGTGTAGATGTGTTTACAAAGTGCTCCAATACTTGGTAAAGCCTACCTAAAGCTGCCATGGAAGGCTACTGTTCAATGTTGAGGTTTAGTTTTATTTGGCAGTTTTTTGCGAGCTACATGGTGGTACGAGTACAAACAATTTGCTATACAATTACCTAAATACATATTTATATTCTTGCAGATTCAGGGTCAAATATATCATCGAACAGGTTCCTTATTGGCAATGCCTGATGAAGACTATAAATTTTTGCAAATATATTTTATGGGCGATTCAGCAAGAGAAGTCCATTAGCGTTGCGCACACAACAACTCAGTGAAAAGATCCATTGTGGAACAACTTCAATCACTTTTCCATCAACACAATGAATCAGTTGTAATATTCACAACTGCATTAGACCGCATGCCATCAGATAACCAAAAAATTGTCATCAGAGCCGATAAGGCGCCTGCAGRAAAATTTAGAAAACCGAGACATTGTTTTACTTCGGCGAAACGACTTCAGCATGTCTGAAACACATCGATCATATGATGCCTTACAATATCCTATCCTATTTTGGCAAGGTGAAAACGGCTATCATTTTTCAATTAAGATGATAAATCCAGTTACAGGTAAATTAATTAACAATGTATGTTTACAACATTAAAATATATGTTTACTAACTTAAAATTTATATTATTAAATTATTAACAAAAAAATTGTTTATAGGTGCTGAAACGAACAAAAAAGTTAGTTCAATGAATTATTATTCATACAGACTGATGGTTCAGGAAAAGGAGGACAATCACATCTTAAAGTGTCGGCGTCTATTTCACCAATATGCTGTGGATATGTATGTGAAAGCTGAAACTGAACGATTGACATTTATCAGGTTGAACCAGGAAAAACTCCGTTCCGAGGAATATATCCATCTTCGGAATGCCATTAATGCTGATGGAAATGCACAGAATGTTGGCAGAACAACTATTCTCCCAGCAACATACGTCGGAAGCCCGCGACATATGCATGAATATGCTCAAGATGGTATGTCATATGTACGACATTATGGCACACCAGATTTGTTTATCATATTCACATGCAATCCAAAGTGGACAGAAATTCAACAAGAATTATCCGTATGTGGTTGAAGGAAAATGTTCAAAACGCTAATTAGTAACAGAAACTATTACTGGAAATGGTGGATATCCACATTATCGCCGCCGATCCATTGATGACAATGGAAAGTCAATAATAGTCAAAGTAAATCGACAATACATTGTTTTCGCCATTACTCTGCAAGGCATATAAAGCACAAATAAACGTAGAATTTTGCCATTCCGTAAAATCTATTAAAAATATTTGCAAGTACGTGAACAAAGGTAGTGACATGGCTGTCTTCCGAGTTGCTGGCAAATGGGCCGCTATGTTAGTAGTAACGAAGGCATATGGCGTATATTTTCGTTTCCTATACATGAACGACACACTACTGTTGTTCACTTGGACGTACATTTGGAACATGGTCGACGGATGTATTTTACAGATGAAAACGTATTATAACGAGTTGGCAGGCCACCATCGACAACATTAACCATCTTCTTTGAAATGTGCCAGAATGATGATTTTGCCAGAACGCTACCTTACTAAGAAATGCCAAGATATTATACCTGGAATCAATCATCCAAAAAATTTCAACGACGAAAACAAGGACAGACAGTTTCAGATTACCCACATGTATTTTCCACCGATGCACTAGGCCGTCTTTATGCAGTCCATCCCAGTCAAGGCGAGTGCTTTTATTTGCATTTATTGTTAGTCAATGTTCGTGGTCCAACATCATTCCAACATCTGCGAACTGTTAATGGTGCATTGTGTGACACATACAGAGAAGCCTGTCAACATTTGGGATTGTTAGAGAATACACTGATTGGGACCACACGCTCGAAGATGCTGTGATTTCGTCAAATGCTAAACAAATACGAACATTATTTTCTTTAATTTTGTCTATGGCATAAATACAAAGATCATATGGCGGAAGATGTATTGCATCATATGTGTCTTAGAACATC